ATTGCTGCACAAAAGAACGAATTCGCGAGCGGGAAGGACCAATCAGTTCGAAAAGGGACGAACTTGCGAGGGAAAAGACCCATCAGCTCGAGGAAAGTCAAGCTTCACGTCCCACCTAAGCAGATCATTGCCTAGGCTGATCATGTCACGAGTGGGGTCACCCTCATCTCGAGCACCCTCCACGTGGGTTTGTGGGCGCCATTGAGACCAAGCCGATCACCGCCACGAGCGGGATTATCATAGATGCGCAGGATGTCGTTACGAGCAAGCGTACCTTCTGCGAGAGCGAGTAGATCGCAACCGCGAACCGGTGAGTCGTGAGTGAGAGCGAGGGATCACAACAGAGCGGCCAGGGAGCCAACCCCGCATCGACTGCCCGCACCAGCGGAGAATCACGCGCCCAACCGCGTGCGCCAGCCAACCGGGCTCTCTAGAGGAAAGACGGGTGCACCAGGCAGCACACATCATCTGGATCCGGTTCATGTTCCGAAACGGGACCGAGATTGGGGCGCAGGAGTGGGGTCAAGATGCAGCTCGGGCCTGGAATGAGACCAGGCCAGCGGCCTTTGGCCTGAGAGCAAAACTTTGGACTGGATCGGGGTCAGGATCGAGCCTAGGACTGAGATCAACAGGTTGAGACCTGAACTAGGCAGGACATAGTTCCGATTGGCCAGATTGGTACTGGGACCTACTCCCCAAGGCGGACTCTATTTCATTAAGGCCTATTCCACGGGCGAACCGGGCCAGGTTCGACGGTCACTGAGACTAATCTACGAGCGATCCGGGTCTGGCCAAATTGGAATGGAAGCCGGGGGCAGAATTTGTTTCCACCACAAGGAACAAGACTAAACTCGACAAGCGATCCCCGGACGTAATTTATTCCAATCACTCGGGGTGTCCACTTAACCCACTCAGTCAAACCAGGGCTGGGCCTATCTCTGTGCAAGGGTCGAGCACTCGCTTATTCCGTTCGAGTGTATCTGAATCAGGCTTATCCTACCCGAAGGCCGTGACCTGGGAGAAAGGTCTGGTAAAATTGGAACTCGAACTCCAGCCTCAATGGGCCCGCGACAGCGCATCAGACACTGAGAGCTTGAGCACGGTGCCTTGGGACCAACGGGCCCACTACAGACGACATCCTGTGGGTTGCAGAATCCGCCGGAGGCTACTAGTGAGAACCATCGGAACCCAAACAGATTTTTCAGATTCAGACATCAGCCTTGTTCCCGGGGCAGGTAGCTGCTCGGCATGTCCCATTGTTCTGGACTAAATAAAACATTTATTCTATTTCTCCCGACAGCTTGACTTTGTTTTCCTCGTTGTTGTCTAACTTGAATTTGTGGTATTAACTAAGTTGGATTTTTGCAGGTTGCAGGAGCCGCGGACAACCCTCCCATGGGTGACAGACACAGGGAGACTGAAGGGTTGGTCCAGCGTGCCGGCAATTCCTTTCCCGGGGTCGACAGCGCGTGGTCTGGTTAGTAACGCAGCTAGGGATCGCATTGCCATGCCAGAGAATCTGTTGCCTAGTTTAAAGCAAAGCACACTTGGTATAATCTTGATCACAAGTGTCTCTGAACCTTGCCTCTCTGGACATCTGGAGTCTGGACCTTTAACCTAAACCACAGAAGTAGATACCAAGTCTCTGAATCTGTACCCCTTCTCAGTCCTTTGCTGAAGGAGTCCAAGTCCGTCTTAGGCCTGCATGAAACACAATAGGAAAGTCTCTGAATATGGACCCTTTCTCAGTCCTTTGCTTAAGCAGTGAGAGTCGGACTTCGGCCTGGAGGAACTACCCCATGCACTCAACTAACCCCCCAATCACCCCATCTCAAAGCCAAGCCAAACAGGGCGCTCAAAAAGCACGCAAATCGCTCACTCGATGATGTTCCGCCTTGAGGTAGTTCCAACAATGAGATCAGACACAAGAAAACCCCTGCATCAAGCGGAACACAGAAACGTCAAACACCATAGCTTGATCGTTGTACGAACAGCTCAGAAACCGGCAGAAAGCAGATTTGACAATGGCATACATGTGAGCCTCTCCCACGCAGACTGGAAAGGGGAACTGTCATCTGGAAATGCCCACTCCTCGCTCCCTCAAGATGTTACCTGTCATCAGCAAGACAGATCTTCTGCTGGGCATGATCAGGCGTAATGGTCATGGTCTGCACCTCCTCTCTCTGATCGACGCGGCCCCACGCCCCACACCATTGCCCATTCCTACCCATCCCCCCTTCCCACCCCCCACACCCCCTCCTCCTCTTGGTGATCTGTGGTTTCACCGCACTCATGTGGCCAGAAATATTATCCTGAGGAGCACTGTTTATATGATCTCTGACACTCCCATGCAACAGCTTTTTTCAAGTTTTTTTTGTTTGTTGCCCGCCGTTAGGAAATTCCCTGTAGTCTGCCTTATATGTGAGATGGCAGATATCTGTTGACAAAGTCAATGCACAGGCAGACTGAAACTTTTCCATCTTTCTGGAGAGGCAAAGAACGAAACAGCACAGTAAGGTCTCTACTTAGACCACTGTCCTGCGTTGGTGTAACATATCAGAAAGTGAAATGCACTGAAAGCCTAGGATCTAGCAATGACGAAAGTGGCAACAACCAGCAGCATAGGTGCAACATTCACAAGGTGTCAATGTGCGCGACGCAAAGAGTGAAACAACGGGAAATCAATAACAACACATTCGT